TTTATTCATCTACACCACTCCATTCTCTATCACAGTCTGACGCAACACGCCATACTGTGCGTCGTAAACCACCAATATCGGTCATATCTTCCGCCCCCGGCCCGCTGACAGATACAATTGACCCCCGCGATCCGTTTCCTCGGCTTTCTACACAAGCTCCTCCCTTCTTCTCGTATGGACACAGTTCGTCCCATTCGCACCAATGAACCTTGTAATCTCCTGGACGTGTTTGTCCTACCTGTTTTCTTCACAGTTGACTTGCAGTCCCCTTGTAGTTCTCTGCTACAGCGCCCTTACCTCGTCCACTTGTAAATCCCCACGAGAATGTGAGTTGGGACTGCCATTATCACACATTCGGCTGACCTTTTTAGTTTCAGCCACCGACTACCCAGTCCTCTGCCCTTGCTTCCACACCCTTCAAATCCCGCCTACACCGTCTGTCAACCTGGTGGCCCCTTCAGACAGATCATGCATCGCCAGCTATGGTCGACGTTCCACTTGCGCAGGGTAAAGAGGTACATGCAGCCCATTTTCCCCACTTTCCAGTACTCACACATTAATTTACAGCGGAACGCTGCAGCAGATGCTCCACAGAAAGACGATCAATGGATACCTGATGAAGATCATGTTTCTCCTCCTCCTTCGCCCAACCCAGATTCGCGACAGCTGACCACACCAAGGCAGGTCAAGACCAATACCGGAGAGCACGGAAGCAGCCGGTTGTGTTTCTGCTTTTAAATTGACTTTTCGAACGGTACTGTGACGAGTCCATTGTAGACACCTTGCTCATTAAAAACAGCTTGTATGTATAGTGTATTTTACGGAACGCAAGGCATATCACAGTGCATTTCTGTTTGTGGCTTAGTTTGCAAATGCTGATCACTCCTTGGAGTGCGAACGACTCGGACACTCCCTGTTGAATTTCGAAGTGCTCAACGCTAATATATCCGCACCAGTACTTTTTGGTCGGTAACTTACTACAGGTACAAAGGCTGACTGGTGCTTCAATACAGGAACTTCTCCGACGAGCTGGAAAGAGGACGTGAACATGCTGTACAATGCAGCCTAAGTCTTGAGGAAGGGCATCAAAAGCCAAGGTGGTAGGACGCGCCCATGCTCAGGTGAATCGTGACTGCCCTCAAGACGTCTTCACTAACACTCTCGAGGTAACTCAAGCACCCCATTCAAGCATTCTACACTAACGTTGGAGCAGGGCCAGCGGCCTAAACCTGGAGCAAGGCAGACAAGCTGCGATGATGATGATGATGATGATGATGATGATGATAGATGCTAGCTACGAACATAGCGAAGCCTAGTCTACGCGCTGACTAAGCTGTCGAAAGGGCCGATAGGCCCTTCGGTGCATAGCTCCTGCCCTTGGGACCCCTGGTCCAACGTCATTGCAATTAGCTTACCTTGCAAGCAGAGTACATTGTCTCTCGAACGAGTCCGACTTGAATCTCACTCAACGTCCATTCACCCGAACACGCCCGAGTCCATATCCACATCCAAATAACCAACTGACATACTTGTTAAACTGCCAGTGCAGTATCTGGCCAATACAACCGACATGGCTTCCAGCTCGGCCCAGAACGGTTGCAGCAGCAAAACATATCGATTCTGTTACCTACAACCATGCGCCTGACGGAATGAGGTGAGCCAAGACGTGTAGAGACTGAGTATGCTGACAACTTGACAGCCTTGAAAGCTAACTTGAAGTGATGGTGTGTGCTGCGCAACCATGGAACCATGACGGATTGATGACTGAGCGAGGAGGAATTTATTCGATTGAAGAGTAGTGACTCACCTCTAGGAATCAATACTTTTCATGAGATCCCTACCACTAAAGCAAGAACGAGAGACCATCCGATTTTTTTCATGTGTACAGGGTATGTGATGGCTATATCGAATCTAGGGATGAGTACTTTGACACTCGAGACTGTCTGAGATTCCTTCAAAAGGCACACCGACGTTGTCACCGATCTAGCACTCTCATCTGATTGTGTTTTTCTCGTCAGTGCTTCCGACGACGAGACCATCAAGCTTTGGTCCTTCGAGTCTCGCTTTGTTCGACATCCGAGCTCCCCATTCCCTTATACTCATCCGACTCACGCCAACTGGCTTACACGACCCGGGATGAGACCAAGATCTATCTACGTGTGCAACATTCCAGCCAGCATCCTCGTTAGCATCGGTCTTGCAAGAGGTATGTTTTCACCCATTCACCATTTGCCCGGTGCTGAAATATCTTGCAGACAAGCGGACTCCTCGTTAAGCTACTTAAAGTATGTGATCCCGCTCTTTTACTCATCTACACCACTACATGCTATTAGAGTCGGACGCAGCACGTCATTCCGTGCGCCGTAAACCAGCCATATCGGTCATGTCTCTCGTCCCCCGCCCACTAAGAGTTACAATTGATCACCCGCAACACGTTTTCCCCAGCTTTCTACGCCAACCCCCACTATACCGGTTACATATGCATCATGTTGCATTCCCAACCTCCGACTGCGTTAATCTGATTCAATCACCGTAATTGCTTACATCAAGTTGAGTTTGTAGTCTGTTCTCCACATCCGACGGAGCAAATAAAACGATCGTCAACCCAGTATATATATAATAAGTTATTTAAAAAGACATCGTACTACTGATACTATCACGCGAAATCATCATTCATGAATCATCTGATTACACGTTGTGAGATGCCCCCTCCACAGACACCTCCTTGCCTGTCGATGGTCGGTCCTGCCTCCCATTTCTGTACACTGAGGCACCATCAGTGTGCGTAAATCGAGATATATGTATCTGCAAAGGTTGCAGAGGATAGTGCTGCAAGTTTCCTTGATTCGTCTCACTGGTCGACCCTCCACGGACAGTCGAGATATGACTGTGATGGTTTCTGCCCATTGCGATTCGAATGATTATCATGTAGAAACAATGGAGATGATCGGTGTGAGCTGGTTGATCAAAGGTCAGTACTTTCAATGATATATGCTATTGGTGGAATCACCAGTTCTATCATGACGAGCGGTCCAGCGTTCGAGCAGACCAGAGTGATTAATGTGCAGAGGAGGGCTATGGAGTATAAAACAGCAGCATCCATAAGCACGCGTAGTATACTCGTCGTGGTGATCTTCGTGGTGCGACTTTTAGCGACATTGCATTCGATTTCCCAGATACGGTAGGCCAGTAACCCTGAACAAAATTAGGTTGGTATGAGGATATAACACCAGGAACAGGGAGAGGCGCGCTTACCTGAACTCAACAAATTATTAGCAATTGTCAAGCCAGCAAATGCGGAGATCCATTGGCGAGTCGCATGGCTGAAGACTCTCCTGGAGATACTGGTTGTATGGGAAAAGCTGTAGATCGAGTATCCACCGGTCACTTCGAGATGACATCAGAGCATGCGACTTGCTATATGTATTTGAAACCTAACCTGCGACACTGCACCACAGTATGCTGGGTACGATGATAACCCAGACGGTTTGCCAAACGACGTAACAACGATAAATCTTCATCCAAAGTCCCTTCTATATCAATTTCAAAGTGGTAAATATACGATTGAACTCACCACCACCCCATCGCCAAGTAAAGTTCGCAAAACAACTATTGTGTTGTTGATTACAAAGGTTTCTTGGGAGATGTCTGCGAAAAATGCATCCGGCCTGCCAGGAAACTCGTCGCGGAATTGTATCAGTCCTTCTTCAGTCCGAATAATATCTATGACCATGTGCTTGGAGGACCTCAGCATGGAACATGAGATGTAGAAGGCAAGAAACCAACCGCAGTGCTTAGCGCGAACAGCAGGACGGCAACAGCAGTGATTGGGCGATTGACGTCCCGCATGTGACGTTTGTAGGTCAGCGCCCAGATGGTGCCGATAAACATCAGGACAGAAAAGCCTAAAGAGCGCTATCTTGATGGGTATAGGACGATCGAAGTTATTGAGATACTCACCGTATAATATACTTTCCAGCACTATTGACATTATCGCGGCGCTATCCAGTGGGATGCCCTTTGCAAAAGTCATGACAAAAATGATACCCTGGCGATGTACGAGACTTGGCGATTATGAGGCATGGCAAATTTTCCAGTAACGTGTCCAGTCCCGTGGATATCATAATGCTAGCAGGACTTAGACTATTATGATAATCATTTCGAAAGTCCTAAATCAGCATCCATGAGGTCCAGGCGGATATTATATTCAGCGCTTCTGTTGTTATTGACTGCGGAATCAGTGAAGCTGTTATCTGAACGTGCTTGCTGTACAGCTTTGACCTGAAGTGTTACCACTCACATGTGCTCAGACCCAATGAAACAGTTGCTTACAGGACGAGGGGCTACGTGCTTGATATTCGAGTCGGGTAGCGACTCTTCACCAAGTGAGTCGGAAGTGACCACCAGACTGGATTTGGAGAAGGTATGAAAGAAATGCGCACCGAGGACAGTGTTTGGTATTATGTAATAGCTAGTAGACTCATCTCGCCGTCGCTATCGGATCTATGTACTTGCTGATTGGAAGATTTAGAACTTCAAAGGTAAACTGGTATGAGTAAAGCTTAATTGATGGACTTGTGTTTCCCACCCTTGCCGATCTACTTCGGAATGGCATTCTGATCTGACGCAACACGTCATGCCGAGCAACGTTTGCTAACAATTCACCCGTTTTCCTTGGCTTTCTATGTAAACTCTTCTCTTCTTCTCTTACACTGTACAGACACAGTTCGTCCCATTTGCACCAAGGCTCGTAATCACATGGACGTATGTTTCTTTCATCTGTTTCTTCACAGCTGACTCGATGGTCCCATTGCAGTTCCCTGCTACAGCGCCCTTGCTCCGTCCACTTGTAAATCCCAACGAGAATGTGAGTGGAGACCGCCAACATCACATGAACATCACATCTGAGTATTCTGCACTAACAAACTGATACCAGTAGCTTATCCTGCAGGCAGAACATATGGTCTCTTGTCGAACGAGTTCAACTCGAATTTCGCTCGACGTCTGGTCACTTGAACATATCCATATCCATATCCATATCCATATCCACATCCACATCCACATCCACATCCACATCTACATCTACATAAACAACTAACATACTTACCGACTTGAAACTGCCAGTGTCTGGCAAATACAACCGACATGGCTTCCAGTTCGACTCAGCCCGGCGCATCGGTAAAATTCAAACACATCGATTCCGAGAATTTCTGACACCGGACATGATTATGACCTTGGAGGGTCAGTACCTCAGTCATCATTCTATCATTGCTTAGTTCTCGCGAGTTCATCCTTTTCCCTACCTATTTTCCTAATGGCAGGAAAATGACCCATGAAATGTTGTCTGGCGAGTCATTGCAGCAATCAGAAGTCACAAAGCTCGAGGAAATTTATAACCTCAGTATGATGCTTGTATCATATTCTATGTAAGTTCACAGCACAAGAACAAATGTAGAATACACCGACACAGCTTTTCGTGCCTCGTTTGTACTGCCATCACTCCTGATTTGCAATCTTTACTGATCGACTCGAGCTCCCATTTTTGTTTTGCCTCCGAGTCCTTACTGTTCCCTTTTCACAGCATGCATCTCATTTCAATCCCTTCCCTCCCTTTACTCGGTAACCTCTTTGATCTGGTAGTATCACTTTCGGCAGCAGAATGTCTCGCAAATTCTGCACTGCGAAGCTGCCGTGGCCCGTCCGCCTTCAAAGCTTCATGTTTCTTCCTGGACTTTTCTGCATGGATTTGAAACCATGCTAGAGTTTCGGGTCAAAAGGCTACAGGTTTTAGCCAAATAGTTTCGTGCATTCCCTCTTCTTACTATGCGTAC